GTAGACCTGTCCGACGAACTGTGCAATACTGCGTTAATGTTCGCAGCCTATAACAATAACGCTGCAATAGTGTCTCTGTTACTCGATTGGGGTGCTGATATTACTTCTATAAATGCAGACGGGTGGACAGCACTGGATTTTGCTATACGACGAGGCTCACGTGCTAGCCAACGCATAATTGAGAAGCATATTTTATCTTTGTTGCAAACTCATTAGTTTTTCAAACCAAAGCAATCGGAAAGTTTTTTCCATGTTGGGATGTACTTATGTGGTTTCATATTTGTCATCATTTAAGCTCGATAAATTTCGGACATTTCCACATGCATTGTGAAATTGCCTCAACATATATGTATAGATAAACGTAAATTAATATCTTTTATTAATCCACGCAGTACCGACTTATTTGATGTTTACTTAACTGTGCGGTGAACATGTCAGATCACTAAAATGGTTCGTACCGCGTAATCATCTGGGAGAAAACGTCATCTACGAGCACGTGTTGAATATAAATGTTATCACTTGACTTAATCTTATCTTTAAACTAGTCCATCTAGTTGGACAACTGTGACCGTTTTTGTAAGGCAACGAATGATCTTTCATGAGACCGATGAGCGGGAACCATATTCGTTTGATGCAGTAGGTATAACTGGTTGATATTGAGCAAACCAAATAGTCCAAAACTACAGCTCAATCACATCTGTTCTATAGAACGTTTCTATATCTTCAACATCATTACAGTAATGAATGTAGATATAAGGCTTGCGCGCATTTACCAATAAACACAACTTGACTAGGAGTTCGGTTCTTAAATGTCATCTTGCGTGAAATAATAGGAAAAGCGATGAGTTACAAGATCACCGTCTTCATAGTGGTAAAGTCTACTAGGTCTACGGGATGGTAATGGAAGTAAGACCGACTAAAAAAATACTGGTATAATTGCGACTATGGGAATGATAGTTTGGTGGCAAAACTGACCCCCCTAACCAAAAGTATTTCAAAACAGTCGTCGCCCAACTGGGATATGTTCGGCTAGAACGATCCCATGACAAATTTGGTCACTTAAATCACACCAATATTTCATTGAATCGATCCTGTCGTCATAAAATTTCCTACATCAAAACACGCAGTTCTTTGAAACACATGTAGTACTAGAAAGCGTTTATCGATTGTGTACTAATCATCCATCACATTATAAGCATCTAGATATGTTGTAAATAGGTCATTCTAATCGTTGAGTTACAACAGCGTGTAAATTGAAGACGAGCTTGGTATGTTGAACTTCGGATACCGTTTACTCGAGAAAATTCTTGCATGTCAGTTGAAGTGTTTCGTTCATGATGTTATGAACCGTACGTAATTTAATTTGTGAATCCAAAGCTTAGGTTAACCGGATATACACGGCAGATAATCTAATTTTCCTCGTTTTTGATGTAGAGATTCACTCGTGGGTAAAAATAAACTAGTTGAAAGTACATACAAAATAACACACAGTTTCTTATGTTACAAAATCTCCAAATGAGACCATCCCGGTGAAATTCAATAGAAAACAGCTTAGTTGAGTCGCTTTCATTGCCCAAGTGTTTCATGAAACCATCTTGCGCTGTAATAAGTAACCAATTATTTAAATCTAGCTGGTTGTGATATACGGAGGGAATAGTCGGTGAATTTAACATGAAACAAACTAGTCAGTGGCTTTTACAGTAACATTATTTTAATTTCAATAATAATGCTTAGTTGATCACTGACCAGGTTATGGTCGGATTCAATTTTTTGACGTGTGAGTCACTAAAAATGTGCAACAGTCGCACCAGCTAATGATCGCTAAAAGTAATGTCAACCAACTATAGTTGGAAAAGTGGGTGGGTCAACACAATTTATCCGTCTTGATGTTAATTAATTACCCTAGGCTTCATTAAAGAATACAACTGTAGCCTTTTAAATTAAAAGTTAGCAGATGAAGAAATCATCTTAAGAAAATAGAGTAGGTAATAAGACAGATTCTATCGGGACTATGTAATATGTTAGCCTAATACATTTCGAACAGTCTAACGCCGAACTAATTTCTCAAGATATATGATAAAAGTCAAGCCGAAGCATATTAAAAATTGGTGATAAAAAACTATGAACCACAACCAGACGGTCTCGGTTGCAGCTTATGAGGCAAGATTATTTTCACCTGTATGATTAGTCAGTAGATGACTATTGACTTCGGATTATTTGTTGCTTTTAAACTAGCCAAATATATTGGATTGTGACACTAATGTCATTATCGATATCAATGGGAATCTAACATTAATTGATTTATAATCTCAATTCAACACCAATGTTATTGCCTATCGTGAGCTGGGACTCCACGAATCGTATGATAATTCGTGTTTCTTTACACGCAATACATTAATGGAGACTGCCTTATAACGATGGATGATCAGATTAGTCTATCTAAAGTATTTTACACGCCAGGTCGCTAAGGACCTGCGTAGGTGAGGAGCACCCAGTGCAAAAAGATACTTTTACTGGTTTTAACAACACAATCCCAAATTTGCAATGTAGAGGCGATGGCTTTAAATATTAATGAATATTGCTTATTGCGTAAACTATGTCCGCATTTCCGGTACTTATTCCTTTGCTTCCGAGATTTAAATCAACGCTGCAACGTGTGTACTACTATCTGCAACAACACGTCCAAGACTACTAAGATATAGTCGACATCTACAGGATATTGACATGCCACCTTTTAAAACTAAGCTGAATCATACATTGACAAGCTTTTAGGAATCACGTCATTGAGCAACCTTATGTACGTTTCTTTATAGATGTATCGCTTACCCATTATGTAGTTTTAAGTATACCGTGAATGTTTTCTCAACGACCAAACATACAAACTTAAACCTAAGATAGCTTTAAGTTTGAGAGTGAGATCATTCTAATTATTACGTGCCAACCGAAATGTGTCACTAAACTGTTTCTAATTTATAGCGAAGCATAATTAAATACTAATATTGGTAAGTTTTTGTAGTATAAATAAGTGATACACTCGTTGAGATATTCAGAGTTATTTTTAATTATCAAGCAAAAATCTTTCTTTTTATTTGAAAGATAAGAGAGTTCCCCATCTCAACCATAAGTGGAGTAGTTCAGGTTTTTGCATCCGAATTTCAGTCAGATTTTGTGTGGGGACTAGCGATATTACATGCTTATACAAACTAACGTAGATGGATTTGTACACGAACTTACGACCAAGAGAATAAAAGTCGAATGTCTTGACTACTAAGCCACTGCTCTATTGATACTGTCAAGCTTACAGATATATAGCTCAGTAAAAATATCTAGGATTTTTCAATATCGGTCGATTTTCTCATATTGTTGCCAAAAATTATACAATGAAACGCGAAATATACATGTTCGTGTGTACGCTGTGTGCTTAAATATTTGTGTTAAGAATCAGATTTATTTTAAACGGAAAAAGATCGCACTACACAGCCAGAGGTTTGTCGATGTCTTTATCACGCTAATCTACGTTTTTTTCTCAAAGCAGATCTATGCCTGATCGTTTATATTGTTACTAATATCATCACTAAAGGTTCTCTTGTATTTGATAATTCCACCACACTGTAATGGTGGGATGTGACAATTTAGCTGATGTGCACATGTGCTGAAACATACACTGCGTACAACTGACTGATATTATTGAAAAATTCAAAACATTGTGATTATTTTTAGATTATAAAAAGTAGCAACAATGCGGTTTGATAATCTCAAAAGTGTAAGGCAGTTTTAACGAACACTTACAGACTGGCAAAACCATGCAATAAAAATAATAAGCCAAAGTAAATAATCAAGAGAAGAAACTTTACACAACCATAACACGTACTCAGGGGTATAAGGAAAAGATAAATTAGAAAACTATTTGTTATTACGGTGAAATTACTCCTGACCATTCCAATTAAAGCCACCAGGTCTTCTCACTTCTGGAAGAGGCTCATAAGCACGATCGATTTGTCGTCTATTGAACAAATATTTCCTAATATTAGAAAAATACATGTCAGCATTAATTATTCAGGCCTACATAAATTCAGGCGTACGGAGTATTCGAAATCCATTCACTTGGTTAGGATATACATCTTCGAGGAAATAATAAAGATGACCAACAAAAATACCTAAACAGTTAATAATGATGAAAACCTCCTTACCAATTAGATCAACCATCATATTATTCCCAAGAAGGAAAGAAAATGCAAAAAACACCCAGGGGAGATATGGAGCATTTACTTCTATTATCCCGAATATGTTTAGCCTCACTAGTGGATTTCTTCTACTCCAGACGTAAACAAGCATCATTGTCAAGACATGGCTGAGAAACAGCATGTTAACAAACAAGGCGATTATCTGAAAAATAACTAAATGAAAGACAACCTACTATCGTGAGAGTTCCACAAAACAGAAACATCATGACAAAGTCGGCAGTTTTCGTACTGTACCACGTTTCTTCCAGCATACGGCAGTATCGATAAGCGAACAGGATATTAAAAAGAAAACTGAAATTAAATGATCCAAAAAAGCAAAACGACGTCACCAGCCTCCATAACTAGTAAAAAGGATATAAAGAATACGCGAAAATACAAACCTGAAAGTTATTCGCTATTAATGACGGATTGAAATATAATTGAAACGGAGAAATTAAGTTGAGTTGCTAAATTGTGAGAATAACGACTGAAGTGGATACTTACAACTGCAACTGTTAATAGAAAACACGTTGATATGTATGCAGACGTAACAGGAGGAGTATTCGATATTTCTTGAGATATTATATCCATCAGAATATATTAACGACGAAAAACACTGATCAATAATGCCGCCTCATATTATTTAATTAAACTCACTATCTCACTATCTGTATATTTAGTTTTGCATAAAGAAGATTTCTTAAAATATTTTTAGTGACTGAGTAATTTTTGTTTTTATAAGCGCGGGAGTTTTATTTTCAGGGCGGCCGCTTTTTAATGACGAAAGACTTAATAGGCGCTCTTCGGGCTGTAAGCGTGTAATATAGTTGTTATATGTCTCTCAGGCTCAACCTGAAGATGCAAATGACCTGCCCGACACTTCCTTGCCCCTTGATGGGTCTCAGTACATGAATGATTTTTTCTCTCAAGTCGAGGAAATTCGAAACTTGATTGAACGGGTTCAGTCTCTTGTTGATAATGTAAAAAATAAACATAGTGACATACTTTCTTCGCCCAATCAAGACGAAGGTAGTTTGCAACCTTTTAATAATTTTTGTGTTCCAGCCACGAAGGCTCAACTTGAAGATGCTATGGCTGAAATTAAGACTATCGCACACAAGGTGCGTGCGAAACTGAAGCGTAAGTGATTTTACTGCCTAAGATTTGCAGAAATGGAAATGAACATCGAGTATGATGAAAACTCTGACAGGACATCAGCGGATTTACGGATAAGAAAGACTCAGGTAAGTTTGTCCCATGCATCGCTAATCGTTTATAGTACTCCACGATTTCTCGGAACTTTATTGAAGTTATGACCGACTACAACAAAGCTCAAGTTGCTTTCAGAGACGCCTGCAAGAACCGAATAAAGCGACAGATGGAGATCGGTTAGTTTCATATAATATACCCATGTCCATGACCATTGCGATACAAACATGCTTGTCTATTTATTTTTAAAGCGCTAAAATTCTGTGCGTATAGACTTTAGTTCACTACACTTGCTTCTATCATTGTTTCAAGCTTTTAAAAATTTTATCAACATTTATAGGTCTGACCAATTAAGTGAAAGTACTGCTAAGTTATCTGTTAAGCTAAACTGTTGGTTTAAAATGACCTCAGAACCAGTTTAGTCATTTAATGTCAGAATGACCATAATTAAGGCCCTTGATATGTATGCGTTTTATAAACACTAATGTCGTTAGCCTTCAAAAATGTGAATAATTTGTTTTCGCTCCTGTAGACAGAGGTTAATACCGAACCTTTGAATCCTCATATCTTCTAGTTGCATTTTCGATTAATAGCACTGACATCCTGACAACGCTCATTTTACTCAGTGCTTCTTCCTTTGTTTTGTGACAGCTCATCTCTGTTTTTGCTTTATTTTCGAAATACTCAGAGAGCTAATGTTGTACCTTGATAGTGTTTCCTCATTTTCTAACCTTTTTTATTCTCAAGCAATAATGTCCTGTGAAGAAGCATATCATGGCGGTTCGACCTTATATGTGATCCTTATATTCTTTATTTCACGCATTCTCTTCGTACTTAACATGTTATACAGATTCTCAAGTCTATTTAGTCGTTCTTTTTTGTTACACAGTAGTACTTAATACAAATTTGGACTTAAGCTTTTCTCACATTTAAGATTGTCCAGTTACGTCACGTAGTTTCATTGATCGAAACCTCTTAACATTTGTATGATTAGTAGATGAAAAAACTACAGTCCCGGGTTTGTCGGTAGTCCTATTATACTTATCAATTAACTCGTCAGCTGTAAACAACTCATTACTCTATGCATTAGTTTTTTCATTCATTTAGTCTGTTTTCTCGTTACCTGCCACGGGTAATTTTGCTATCCCTAGATCGACATTCAACGAAATATTTTAAGTCATTAGGTGTATATACTAACCCTTACGTCATGCATATCTGACCGTCACAATTGATTGATCACTGGGTGACCAATGTCATGCGTGTCTAGTCCTTATTATTAGTGCAGATCGAATGCTATCGATCATGTTGCAATGTGGCCACCAGTCTAGGTGACTCGACACCGCGGGCACTATTGTAAGATTAGATAGTGGTTGGAGGTAGTAGACAGGAAACCCTGGACCCGGGTTTCGTGCTACTTGGCACTCGTCAGCAAGCTGTACCTGTAATCTTTGAGGGAACTGGTGCTCCCTGGCGGATTCGATCCCGTGTCACCCAGCTTCACAGTCTAGTCCTAGACACGCATGACATTAGTCACCCAGTGATCAATCAATTGTGATTACATCTCAGTCCTACAGGAAGTCGGCCCGGATAGCTCAGTGGTAAAGTCTCTGACTGTGAAGCTGGGCGACACGGGATCGAATCCGCCGCGGAGCACCAGTTCCCTCAAAGATTGCAGGTACACCTTGCTGACGAGTGCCAAGGAGCACGAAACCCGGGTCCAGGGTTTCCTGTCTACTACCTCCACCCACCGTCTAATCTATCTGACCGTCCTAGTAACTATTTTTTTCACTGTGACACTGACAATCGTTTTGTAGCAACTGTCGAAGTGAGTTTAGCGTTGGGCTTTTCTACAAGTCTCACATGATCTTTCTGTCTCATGTATCCCAAGGGTTCACAAGATCTAACACTTGTTTCGTAAACCATATTCCGTTCATTTAGGAGCAACGTCCGATCGTCGTAACTTATCTGAAACCTTAGTTCCTATACCTTCTTCACAATTGATTCATGCACCCGAACAGCTTAATGAAAGATTTGCTTCCTCATTTTTATTCACTTAACTATCTCCTGAGTCCTTATTTCAACTATGCATGGGAGGATATCATCAGTTATTTTCTGATCCCCTTTCGAGTAAATCCTCGTGCATTGAAATTTCTTTAAGTACACGCTCTGCCTTTACGTTTTGAGAAAACTAACAAAAGTTTGTGAGTTGGAGTCGAAACTTTTGTCCCTAAATTGAAGCGGAGGATTAGTGGTTGAATCATTTGACTGCCAACCTTTATTTACGTGTTGGAATCTTGCTCTGCCTAGTTCATTCCACGTAACTAATATTGTATCGTTATACAACAAAAGTATTTTCAAGAAGTGCAGAAACTACTTGATTATTGACTCACATTGAGATGGTTTTTTATGATTAGTCCTTATTGACTCCAAATTACAAACGAAACAATTAGTATATCTATCTTCATGATTATCGGTTACACTGAAAGTTCACCTCTTTTTAGTCGGCCGTTTTATACATTAAACCTGTTGGTAGGTTTTGAGTAGCTACCTAAATCAACACACTTCTACAATCCGGTCACAACCTTTAGAACTAATTATGGTGTTCGAAAACGGAGATAATTATATGCAACGTCTTTTGTCGTTACATTTATAAAACCCATATTTTTATGTGATTTATGATATATATATATATATATATATATATATATATATATATATATATATATATATATATATATAAACAGACGAAATAAAGCGATTTTTTGTTTTACACATAGTGTGTACATTAGTTTTTTTTTAATGGGGAGTAACTTTTCATTTTAGCTGAGAGAAAGATTTCTAATGAAGAATTGGAGGATATGTTAGAATCTGGAAATCCTGCCATTTTTACACAAGAAGTTAGTTTGTTCATATTTAGTTTATAATCAAACTTTATTATTCGGACCCACTTTATAGAAATGATATATGTACTTATATTACCAGTCCCTTTAATTGTCAAACATTATACAGACTACTCTATATTTCACATATTTTTTAATCCTAGCAACCCATTTCGATAATAATCGACAGTTGTTTTAGTAATTCCTAGGCTTTCCATAATCACATGCTGTTTTTTTATTAAATCTGAAATCTAGTAGATCAATTGTCATTATAAATGAACTCTTTTATAGTAAAATAAAACACTAAGATAAGAAACCTTTTTGAGAATAATTTTTCATGATTAAGGATATTTAATTTCTCAGTAACATTTCAAGAGACTTAATGTGTGACTTTGCATATCTTCAGTGATCACCAACAGCTTTCGAACTACGTTTCATATCAAGCAATTATTCTCCGCGTATTCATTTCGTCTTAAACTCTGTGTTTGGGCAGTCAGTCGCAACGTAAGACCTGGTATGTATTTACAATAGTTCAAGTTGCCGTACCCCGTCAGGCGAAACCCCAGAATAATAGTAGTAGTATCCGTGGCAATAGGGAAGATTATGCATCGAAGCCAAAAATCAAGAGAAAAATATATCAGAAAGGGTTTTGTGGATATCATAGTAATTTTAATGGTTGAGAACATGAGTCAATTGAAGCTAGGTCATTGTTATAACTTGTGGTCTGTGTGCCCTCAGCAGTGAAATATCAATTGAACCAATGCCGCACAAAATCCGTGCGAGCAGTCTAGAGTACTTATCGGTCCTGCTTCCTGCCTAACACAGCCAGTTGAGTCCAGAACATCAACCTCAGCCTCTGCAATATGAATCATGTATTTCAAACATACTAGGTTTATATACCAACCAGACAGACCACATCGTACCATAAAATACGAAAATTTGACTAAATCCACCGAAATTACTTATTACAAACACCATTCTAAAACATAAATATTATAAATAAAGTAGTACTATGAAATTCAAAACTTCTTTTAATGTGTTATTATCTCTGGTTGTGAATATTATGGGTATATACTTATGTTTTCCGGAGTAAAATAGTCACCGAAAACAACTTTGCGATGGTAAAATTGGGGAGCACATTGAAGTTATTATCAAAAGTAAAACTTGTTGACTTGTTCTTGACCCGATAGTAAAGCTAGTTCCGTGAAATACTCGTTAATTCGGTTATTGTAGTATTATTCCGACATCACTCCAACAGATGTGCTGTTGTACAATCACCACCAGTATTGTCGGGGGATTTCGCTTGGATTTATATCGTAACAAATATTAGAAGTGGCTCAATAACCTCATTGGTTTTATTTACTGTTGAAAAATAATCCAATTAAGTGACTTATAAATACAGATTGAAGAACCTAACTTTCCATCATTTTCGTCCCGTATCATATAAACAAACCGATTATTTCTCAATCAAAAAGTAAACAGTTCTCAGTCATTTGTAGATCGGAACTAGGTAACCTAAGTCATCTGTGACAAAAGGCGTAACTTCAAAGTGATTCTTTAAAACAGCATTCTAAGTTTCTGGACTGCACTTAAGGCTCACTGTTCAAGTAACGTGAGTTATTAGTGGTTGTTAGAAGTAAGTAGGAGTTTTGCCTGAAGATAAGTGTATAATTTACTGAAGTAATTACCTCACTTGACTCATTGTTAAAAAATAATTTGGATGATATATTGTCCCAAAAAATCCTATTCCAACATATAAGTCATCATTTAATTGGGTAAATTCGTGGAGTTTTATCTTTTTTATATACCTTTTATAGCAGAGTTAAATCAACAGAAAAATCAGTAATGAAGAGGGGAGATTGATCTCAAAGGTTCACGCCCACATTTTTTTAATTTTTGCAATAAGGATGATTAGCAAACACACTAATTACTAGTCTCAAGAGGTATGCCTCCGAGTTTTAATGAAAGGCCGTCTATCGATTCGGGAGTGACGCAACTATTCCTCTGTGTTGTCTAATAGAATTGCTCTTTATAAAATGTGGGCGAAATACGTACTTATGCACTAGATTTCAGTAGAAGTTGGCTACATTCTATCCAATTCAATAAAAGTGTATAAAACTCGCAAAAATCATGTTTTTATTCCACTGACTAGTCCATATGAAATAAAATATAAGTTGTATCAAAAGGTATGTAATTTATGCCATCCTAGGTGCTCATATGTAGTCCTTGTAGTGGCTAACTTTAACATCTTAGGTAATGTAAGCCACTTAGGTGAAGCTTTTGATATTTCACCAACTAGTGGTGATGTCAGTCAGCTTTATTCCAACGAATAACGACCCCAGGCTCGAAGGTTTTGTTCATCCTGAAGACCTTCTACACCAACTTACTTGTAGTCACAACAACATCACATAGCGTTCTCTGAAAAAAGTCAGTTTGACATTGTTGGTCGTTTTAGGACACATATGTGTTTCGACGCATTGCTTTATACAAAGAAATAGAGGTATGGATCTCACCAAACATGAGAAAATTAAAATAAAATCCTCAGCTATCCTATCTTAAAGATGTAAATACTGAGGATACATTTGTACAAAATTAGCTAGGCGATTGATCGAAGGTGAGGATAGTTTTTATTCCGAGTCTGGTGTAATGACATCAATAGCCGCAATTAATAACTCAACAAAACGTAGGGAGGGACGTTAGCCTGTTTCGGCAACTGAATTGGTCACTTATTGAAGCTCATCTTGATAAGTTCAGATCACTTCAATGTTTAAATGAAACTAATGCATAGACCGATAAGAAGTCTATACAATGACCACAAGGGATAAAATATCAAGTAAATGACCAATGGACATTTATGCTAATGTACATATTATTTATGTCTGCTTGGATAAAGCCCATATGTATAAAAACTTAGAATCTTTTATTATAACAAATGAAGTAAAGCTCTACCTCCAACATTCATTCTGCACATTTATGTTATTGGTTAAATAATAGGATCAGTAATATCGATTCGTTGATCTGGTTTTGTTGATATTATCAGTATGTTTCACAATTATTTTCCAGTTAGTTGAATCATTCTTATGGCCTTTAATAAGTATAATCTATATTTTTGCCGACCGCCTTTAGTGAGAACGTGCATTTCGCTTTTTATCATATATCTAATTATGGTATTGTTTAACTCTGTATCCTTAACTCGTAAGTAGTCGTAGTCAACACTCACGAGTAACAGCTTACATTCATAAACGATGGTTATTTGTTGTCGACCATTTAAATAACCTCTTGCATATTATCATTTTAAATGTGAAGACTAAAAATAAACCCAGTCTAACGAAATCAGTAGTTCAGATAAATAAAAAAGTTGTTTAGTCCGCTGATCCTGGTTTTAGTTCTTGGACTCATTCTATTCTTCAGGGGTACTACTATAATCAATATGTGGAAGTCGTCACCCCACTTATATGAAGCATCATACTCTGGATTTGGTAGCTGTAAGAAACAAGTGATTAATTAGATCTAATTCATAAGAGAAGACACGTTTTTTCTTTCATTTATTTTCACAAAAGTAAATCAAAGGTAAATGTCTGAGGTTACCTAATAAGAGTATAGGTTATCTTTTATTTGTATGTGTAGCACAAATCCGACATAAACCTGAAAATAGTTGTAGTTATGAATATGAATTTGGTGTTCATCTTGTTGTGCTAATGAGGTATGGCAACTTGGACCGATGCATATATGTGTCTGGTCCTACGTTGTAGATGACTGGTTCCCAACAATTACATATGCTCTTACTGCAACATCCATTTCTGTACACGTTAGGTAATAAATTAAACTGTGATTAGTGAGTGATTCATTTGCATGGTCTGTTTAGTTTATCCTTAGGAAGTATTTATTTACCCACTAGGATTGATTTCTTAATTCAGATTTATGAATATTTCTTAGTTTTGTCCTTCTTTCTGACTTAAAGTCTCATTTACTGATTATCTCTTTGATAAGTATCTTTTCAAATAAAACTACTTTGTTGACCTTTTTTGATGTTCCGTAAAGTCTATTTTTTATTCTCATTTTTTAACCCACTGTTTCAGATCATGACGGATACTCAGCAAGCAAAACAGTCTCTGGCAGATATTGAAGCTCGACATCAAGACATTATGAAACTCGAAAAGAGTATTAAGGAGTTACATGATATGTTCATGGATATGGCAATGCTTGTTGAAAGTCAGGTTGGTTATAAAGGCTTTATTTCCAGCTTATTAATAATTTTACCAGTCTTCTGGTCCTCCTACTCACTGTCTTTTAGCACTCGAACGTATTATTAATGATTCAAAATATACTAAAATCAACAATTGTATCACATTTTGTCAAATCATAGTTATTTTTATATAGCAGTTAAATTCACGTTTTTGACCAATTGTTGTTTATTTAAGTTTATACTGACAACTTTAAATAGTTAGTCGCACACTTTTACAACTAAGTTCCTGTTATCCTAAAACTTCCTACTCCATTTTTACTGGTCGCTAAATTTTTCAAATATTTAAAATTTTTTACTTATGTATATATATTGCAAAACAATTCACAAATCGAGTTATTGATTTTCAACTTCATTTATCTGATGCTTTCACCCTATGAACTCAATTTTATTTAGATTCACTTTCGTGAATAAGCTTAACCTCTGATGTAGAAACATTATCGTAAAAGAGTTTAGTGACTCCTTTTTGATAGAAAATTACTTACAATTCAGTTGTGCAATTGTATATGACTTTCTCATATTTGCAGCTGCGCATTTGAAAGTATCCTGACTTAACAAAGCGTGGTAATTCGATTCACATCCATAGGTTGCTTCTCAGATCTGCATATTCAGTATGAAAATACACTACGATCCCTTCCAAACATCATTACGTCTTTTTACACTGATTAATTGCTTTCTTCAATTCAAAAATTTCATTTAAAAAAGAAAGTATTCATACTCTTAGCTCAAAACTAGCCAATTATAAAGTACATTATGAAGTCACTACTCAGCGTTAAAAAATTCAGTCTATTGTTGCCCATAAATATAGACATAATCATAAATTATTAACTATTCTTTTAGGGTGAGATGATTGATCGAATCGAATACAACGTAGAACAAGCAGTGGATTATATTGAAAGTGCAAAGGCCGACACAAAGAAAGCTGTTAAATATCAGAGTTCAGCCCGGAAGGTAGGCACTGTCATCGGGTGCAAATTGTGTCCATTCCAAGTGTTCCTTCGATGTCAATCGATTCGCGTTGTCTCTGCTTGGTTGTGTTGTTACCTTTTTAAATGTATAGCTATTTATTGTACCCGAATTTTATGGTGAAGGTTTTATTGTTTTTCTAAATTTCTAACTGTGATGTTTTTCGACTTTTTTATACTGTCACTTGTTATTATTGTCGTTGTCCTTGTCTTTAATGTCTTGTCTTAACAATCACCTACTTGTTGTAAAACGCTGTTGTTATTGTTGTTTTTATTGAGTAACTTTTATATTTCAAGAATCGTTTTATCTTGCCTTTTTCTAATGTTTTTTTAACTTGCATTTTAGACAGATTTTTTATTGAATGCATTTAAGAACTATTTTCATGATTATTTTCCTACATTTCTTAAAAAAAATATATTTGTTGAATATTATTTAGACAAATTGGCTTGAAAGTAGAAATGTAGTCTTTCAATCTATAATACTATTAGAAATCAGTTGATCGTGTCTGGTGTTTGACATTTAATGTCAATCATACTTAAACTGTACAAATTAGGTTTTGTGCTTGACACCTGTCAGTGATGTAGATGAGCTATTCTAACAACTATTGTTAATGGGCTGGAATAAAAGTAACAGTCTCACTTCTGCTTATTGATTATCATCAAGCTTTGCTTCGCATAATATCTAGTTTATTCAGTGTAGTGATTCTCACCATACTTTTCAAATAGTTCCTTTTTGGTGGAATGTAATAGATAGTGTATATTTTCCGATTTCGACCGTCTTATTTTGTTTAGGTCTTATTGCATAGCGCACACTTTTCCGTAAACTAGTTCGTTGTTTTTAATTATATTTAGACCACAAAAGCTATCCGGTTGTAAACTAAGTTTATGTACTCATACACCATGTTCAAATTTGTACATGGTTTGACTGTTGAGTAATTATTCAACAAAATTACGTAAACAATTTTATGAGCTACTAGTTATGTTTCCCCGTAATTGTTTTGAATTTAGTTTTTATATATGCAGTCAATAAGATACAAGCAAAAGTTAACAGCCCAGAGTCTCTCAGTTCCTGAATCTGTCTTGTAAATGAATTCTTAACGCTTTGAGAAATGTTTGACAAAAACGTTTCAAAAAGTTACTTTTCTCAAGTGATTTAAACCCCTCAATAGTCCCCTCCAGGCTTTTTCCAGTGTTCGAAAATATTTTCCAAGTGTTTTATTGTCAAGCCCAAAGTTCAGTCTGTTGAAATCGTTGTGCAAATTACCTAGACTTAAGAGGACGTGGGTGGTGTGCACATTTATACTACTTGAACAACATATTTTACTAGTTTTCCTTGGCATTTTTGCGTTAGATACATTTTCTATGGTTTTCACCGGATACGCTCCCATGAAGGTTTAGTGTGTTAGTTGACTAGGATCAGCTGACGCTCCTCAATCAGCGTGAAATTCCACTCAATAATGTCAGCTAACTTGGCTTGAAATTACTTCTGATCATATCGAAGCAAGCCCTGTTTTGTTTGCTCTGTCAATTAGGTATATTGAATACAATTTTTATTTACGAATTGTTATCTGTGTAGTACTTTTTCTATTTCTAATGAACAACTTTGCAGACTCCACCAAAAATTTTGTCTAATCTATAAAATCCTTTTGCTTGTTACCTTCAGTCATCCATGCTGAATTTTCCAACTTTTAATATAAGTCTTGTTATGATAACATTAGTACTCACTTTAACTGAAAACAGAGTTTTTTGAGGAATGATATTATTAATTTTACGAATCTCCAATTTGCTATCAATTCCTTCATAATTTGTAATATCGGATATCAGCGAAACAATGTTCTCATACTTTATTCAAAAACTGACCCCTGATGGGTCTGTCTGTTAAAGTTCGAAAATAGCTTGATTTCAAACTAAAAATCAACTGGTTGATTATTTGCAGCACGTAGTAATTAGAACAAAAATAGTTAAGGTATGGATTACTAGTTATTTACTATTTTTTGCATAGAATACCTCACAATTGTTTGTCAAGACGTTTTTCGAACCTGCAACTTACTAATCCACACGAAATAGTCAGCTTCGCTTACTGACAATATTTTCAGTACTATTTCAACTGAAATTTATAATATGTATTCTTGGTATAGTTCAGGACCGGTTTATATAATACTGTAAAGCAAACGAAAATAATGCAAAGAAATAAAACACTAGAAGTCCGAAAATAAAATTAATTACATGAAGTATTTAAAGTTTAATTTAGCATACAAAAAATCAACGTGGATTTCGTTCATTTTAGAAGCACGTCTGAATTTTACGGAATACAGTAATAGACTACCTCTTAATTACTACTAATTTCTATTTTTGTTATATTTCTTAGTGTCTCAAAAGTTGTATCATCATTAACATCTAGCTCAGGAACTCACGAACTATTAAAAAATGATGAGTCGTTATCTCACCTTTTCATGCAGGCTGATCATGCCTACTTACCAACAAAAGTTGTGTATATTTATTTAAATGCGGCAATTGTGTTCACTGACCGAAAGATATATCCATATTTTATTACTGACTATCAAGCACACAGCATAAGTTATTTTATCTGAAAATTTGTGATCCAATTCTTGTTCATTTTTCTCTTGTCTATCTCCATTTCTCAACGTAATGTGTTCTTTGGTCTTCCTCTCCTCCTTCGACCTTGAGGATTCCATGTGAGGGCTTGTCTTGTGACGCAGTTAGGTGCTTTCCTCAACGTATGTCCTATCCACTTCCAGCGCTTCTTCCTGATTTCTTCCTCCACTGGGATCTGATTTGTTCTCTCCCACAGTCGGTTGTTGCTAATAGTGTCCGGCCAACGGATCTGAAGTATTTTGCGTAGACAACTGTTAATAAACACCTGTATCTTCTGGATGCCTGGTGATCGACTGGATCATGAAGACATCAACATCTGAAGGAAAGCACGGGATACAGTGGACATCTAGGATGCAGTTGGATGATCTAGACTTCGCAGATGATCTGGCTCTTTTAGCGCATACGCAACAACAAATGCAGGAGAAGACAACCAATGTAGCTGCAGCCTCAGCAGCAATAGGTCTCAATATACACTAAAGGAAAAGCAAGATTCTTCGATACAACACAGCATGCACCAATCCAATCACAATTGACGGAGAAGCTTTGGAAGATGTAAAAACCTTTACATATTTGGGCAGTATCATCGATGAACACGGTGGATCTGATGCAGATGTGAAGGCACGGATTGGCAAAGCAAGAGCAGCATATTTACAACTGAAGAACATCTGGAACTCAAAACAATTGGCAACCAACACCAAAGTCAGAATTTTCAATACAAATGTGAAGACAGTTCTACTGTATGGAGTGGAAACTTGGAAAACTACGAAATCCATCGTCCAAAAGATACAGGTGTTTATTAACAGTTGTCTACGCAAAATACTTCAGATCCGTTGGCCGGACACTATTAGCAACAACCGACTGTGGGAGAGAACAAATCAGATCCCAGTGGAGGAAGAAATCAGGAAGAAGCGCTGGAAGTGGATAGGACATACGTTGAGGAAAGCACCTAACTGCGTCACAAGACAAGCCCTCACATGGAATCCTCAAGGTCGAAGGAGGAGAGGAAGACCAAAGAACACATTACGTTGAGAAATGGAGATAGACAAGAGAAAAATGAACAAGAATTGGATGGAACTAGAAAAGAAGGCCCAGGACAGAGTGGGTTGGAGAATGCTGGTCGGCGGCCTATGCTCCATTGGGAGTAACAGGCGTAAGTAAGTAAGTAAGTAAGTATCTTCTGGATGATTGCTTTCGTAGTTTTCCAAGTTTCCACTCCATACAGTAGAACTGTCTTCACATTTGTATTGAAAATTCTGACTTTGGTGTTGGTTGCCAATTGTTTTGAGTTCCAGATGTTCTTCAGTTGTAAATATGCTGCTCTTGCTTTGCCAATCCGTGCCTTCACATCTGCATCAGATCCACCGTGTTCATCGATGATACTGCCCAAATATGTAAAGGTTTTTACATCTTCCAAAGCTTCTCCGTCAATTGTGATTGGATTGGTGCATGCTGTGTTGTATCGAAGAATCTTGCTTTTCCTTTAGTGTATATTGAGACCTATTGCTGCTGAGGCTGCAGCTACATTGGTTGTCTTCTCCTGCATTTGTTGTTGCGTATGCGCTAAAAGAGCCAGATCATCCAACTGCATCCTAGATGTCCACTGTATCCCGTGCTTTCCTTCAGATGTTGATGTCTTCATGATCCAGTCGATCACCAGGAGAAAGAGAAAGGGTGAGAGTAATCAACCTTGCCTGACACCGGTCTTAACTTCGAACGACTTTGTCAACTGTCCTCCATGAACGATTTTGTAGTTTAATCCATCGTAGGAATTCTCTATGATATTGACTATCTTCTGAGGCACGCCGTAGTGTCGAAGAAGCTTCCATAGGGTTGTTCTGTCCACGCTATCAAATGCTTTTTCGTAGTCGATGAAGTTGATATAGAGTGATGAATTCCATTCAATTGATTGTTCCACAATGATCCGTAGAGTTGCGATTTGGTCTGTGCACGATCTATCCTTACGGAATCCTGCCTGTTGGTCTCGAAGTTGGGCGTCTACGGAGTCCTTCATCCTGTTTAACAATACCCTGTTGAAGACTTTTCCTGGTATTGAAAGAAGAGTGATTCCCCTGTAGTTGTCACAGTTGCTGAGATCGCCTTTCTTTGGTGTTTTGACTAGAAGTCCTTCTTTCCAGTCTTTTGGTACCTGTTCCTCATTTCAGATCTTTCTGAAGAGAGTTTGGAGTATCCTTTCAGTTGCCGCTACGTCTGCTTTCAGTGCCTCTGCTGGAATGCTGTCTAGTCCTGCTGCTTTGCCACTCTTGATTTGTCTGATAGCCATGCTGATTTCTTCAATTGTCGGTGCGCCAACATCAATTGGGAGGTCCGTGAGTGCTGCTTCGATGTTGGGTGGGTTCAGTGGGGCTGGTC